CTTTTCCACGACATTCTAATTTATTGAGATGCACCTGTACACAGTCTGCACACTCTTAAGAGCAATATTTCAAATTAGAGGTCTGGAGCAATATTAAGTATCCCTTGCAACAGTTCCCAACAACAAATGAAAAGCAACAGCAATAACACCACAGCAAATGAACAATCGCAGAACAACTAAACAAAATTGTACAAAAGCATTATATAAAGTATCACATTAGAACAATATACACATTATAATATTCTCTTTACGTCTGTTGGCTCTTTCCCTTTCTGAAATTCTGACACTAATAAAGAACTAAATGAACATTGTTATGGAAAGGTTTCCCCTGAGTTGGCAGTGAAAGTGTGCCCATTGACTCTCAAACATCCCCGTAAGTCTATAGAGCAGAGGTTTTTAACTCATTTTGCTTCAGGACCCAGATTTTACATTAGACGGCACTGATACAGATTATAATCTATCTCAACAGATAGATATATAATAGATTATATAAATAGATTATAATCCATTTTTAAACATTTCTTAAAATTTCCACAATATTTCAAACATAAGAAAAGCTAGAGGCCATGCTTTGCGAGCACAGTTACGACAATGCGTCCCACAACATAAGACTGGCTCTACATGCGGCTGGCTGGGTTAAGCACCACAGCAGGACGGTGTGTCAGAGGAGGGACAGTAATTTGGTGACTTAATATTCTCTGGCCTCCTCTAATTCATTCATGAAAATGTCCTGTTGGGGATTCTCTGTGCAATGCAGGCCATTATTGGGTGGGCGGATGGCATGAAACCTGCTCCAGTCTCCTTTGCACAGTATCCAAGGCAATACATCCACCTTAAAATGCAGTTCTGGAGAGAACGCCGTGCTTATTAGGTTGGGGGTACCTGCACCCTTGCCCCTTGTAATTAGATGCTTGTTGTCATCATAGCAACAATGCTGGGCAGCCAGGGTGGTGCCATCTCTTGAGAGGCCAGAACGCAAGCAAGAGTGTGCCGAGGGTTTGTAGATATCCAGACGTTCTTTTGGCCCACTTGCATCCCTCCATTGGAAGGTCTGATCATGTCCTGCATCCAGCAGACTGACTATATTGTTGAAGGCTTCTGAAGGATAGGTGCACGGACAGCTGGGTAATTCAGTCAATACCTGCTGCAGGTAACGCTGGAGAAACTCACTCTTACAATTCAACCACTTCTCGCAACTGTCAACATCTGCAGAACAACCAAACCCAAACAGATTACACATTATCAACTATAACAAAGTGACAATTGCCCAGTAGTGGGTTAAAAAGTAGTGCGATAGTTTCATGCATTAGAAAATAAGAATTCACATATTCATTCACATTTTCACGCATGTTTTGGGTAAAGATCATATAGACTATACATTGCAAAAGCATTAACTAATACAATTAATTGGATACGTCTGACACAGTTTATTTAACACAGTTAACACATTTATCTGATTTTACATCGCAACTGCTTAATTCAGTTCTGTCTGATGGTGCAAGAGCTTCTTAAAATTATAAATCTAATCCAAATGGGATGTTTAACAAAAATCATGTCACTTGCCATCCTGGTATGCCATAATTTAATTATCATTAGGGCTCAACAACATGCATGAAATATCACATACAAGCAGAATACACTACTATTCTTAACCAACTGTGTCAAGGTGATTTCTTGTGGCTGTATAATGGCGCTTTTCCACTGCATGGTACGGCACGGTACGGCTCGGTACGGTTCACTTTTGGGGGGTTTTCCACTGGGTACAGGTTTTTTTTTAGGAGTCGTGGTAGTAGAGGCGGCGCAACTATAACCACATGTGAATAATCCCGCCCACTCTAAAGCGGTACTGAACTGCAGTGGAAACGCAAACCGTGCCGAGCCGAACCGTGCCGAGCCGAACCGTGCCGTGCCGTACTGAGCCGTACCGAGCCGAGTCGTACCACGCAGTGGAAAAGCGCCATAAGAGTCAGTTCTGCCACTCCACGGGTGTTCCACTAACATTTAAAAAATCAGTGTCTGAATGCTTTTGTTTTAATTTGGGACAATAAAACTATTTTATTTTTACAATTTGTTATTCATGATTATTTGAACTGAATATTGACAGCTTTACCAATAAGCTTAAAGCACTTACCTGTGCCAAAGGGTTCTGTACCATTTTCCATCTCAAATGGAAAGACACGAGCCACACTGTTCCAATCATCTGGGAGGGAAAAATAATCAGTATTACATAATTTTACATAAAATGGTTTAGAAAAAAAACAAAATAACAGACATATTTTTGAGTACTTAAGTAACCTGGGCATGGCATAAGGTCACAGCTTTGGGATTCGGTGGAGATGCAGAAATCTCCACATGAACGTGAGCGGGTCTGGTTGCCGTGGCCACAAGTGACACTACAAGGACTCCATGCGCTCCATTCTTCCTCTTTCTCTCCTAAGAGCACAAGAAAAATTAGTTAAAACATTTATTCATGGTTTTGTCTATTGCTAGGTTTAGGTTTTGAACAAAACCCCTAACCTAACCTTAAGTACTTTTCAGTGATCCGATCACAAGTGGTCCTCTGAGATATACAACCATTACCATTTACACTTAGTATTAGCCAGGGCTCGAATTGAGGGGGGATGCGGGGGGATGCATCCCCCGGTTGAAAAAAATGACAAAAAGCATCCCCTCAGTAAAACCACCATCCCCCCTTACCATCCCCTTTGGATTAATAATGTGTATTCTGTAAAACTTATCATGCAAATGAAATGCTAAAATTATCTACTTAAGATAATTCACGAATAACGGCAATTGGCCAATCAGAACTTATTTCTGTGACAAGCTGCGCACAAGCGGAAGCAAGTTTTCGTCATTTTTCGCGCAAAACGGTTCAAGCACAAATTTAGGATTTCTTTAAAAAGAAGACAACAGAAAAGGTATGATTTTTCCTTCATTAGAATTTAAAAACATTCCCCTGACATACTGTTATTGTGCTGTATGTGTAACTGTGAGGGATTGAGAGATGATAGGAGAGCTGACATTATCGAGTCATCGACCTTGCAAAAACCAAACAAAAACACATCACATCAAAAGAGTCCAAAAGCATTCACTGCGTGATGAAGCCTATTAGAATACAGGTAAAATAACCTTATAATTCAAGCAATTAAAGAGAAAATACCCATGTGTGAATTTTTATGTTTTTATATTCATTGCACAAGCAATGTACTTTTCTGAATAGCAGTAGGCCTACATGCGCGAGCACAAATGTGCTATTAATTTTATACAACAGTGCATAGTAACACGGTGTTTCGTTCCTTGAATTAATCAGTTTTTGAACGAATCAAGTGAGCCCATTCAGATGGACACTTTCCCTGCATCCCAATGTGCATACTATCCAGCCTGTCTGCCCTAAATAGTATTGAAAATTACTAATATCACATAGAATTTAGGATGGATAGTATGCACATTGGGACGCAGGCTTGTTTCGTTTCTAATTGAATCAGCCATTTTGAACAAATCGTTTGATTTGAATGATTCAATAAATCATTTATCAAAACAGGGGCTTGCTGCCACCTACTGGTGGTTTTATCGTCATCATTATTTATCCATGAAAGGCCTAAACTAGCCAAGTTTTCAGCACAAAAGCACATTTAGCAAAATATTGTTTAATTATCAATATTGACCAAAATTCCTCCATTTCAGGCCCAAGAAGGGAAAAAAAGATTATAAATAATAGTTAATTTAATAAGGCTAATTTTTCATGAAATAACCCCCCACACCATTGACCACACCATCCCCCCTGAATTTTTTGTACAATTCGACCACTGGTATTAGCATCATAGCATGTGTTTCAAATGCATTACCTGTGACCACTTGTGTTGTTAAGACACCCTATTATTTTCTTTCTGACTAGCCTACCTCCATATGGGGTTTCAGTGATTCGATCCTGAAATGTTTTAGACTCCATTTACACTAACGACTTAATGCCAGACCAGTTAGCAGCTAGAAGTCATCTAGCAATCACACCAGCAATTTCTTAGCAATAAACCCAGCAAATGCATAGAAATGCATCACTCAAAGACACCACCCCAGGAAAACCTTTGCAATATGCTAGCACCCTGGAAACCACCTTGGCGGTAACTTTTGCTCAAGAAAACAAGGGTAAGTTGGGAGAGTAAGCTTTTGCTAGGGCTTATAGCCTCCAAAAATAAAAAGACTTCTAAAGGCTGATTAGCTTTTAGAATTGGGGGAGATTTCAAAACTCTCTTTCCTAAAAACAAACTGCAGATAATGGATTAAACAAAGACAACAGATGTCTTCTTCTGTCTTCTGTAATATAGAGTATAGATTACAGACTAGCATGTTTAAATATTTAACTTGAATTTGGGTGGGGTGCCAATGATATTGCACACACAGTGATGGTGCCCTGATTACAGACAGACTAGTGAATGATGAAAAGGAGACATAGGCTCAGCGACTGCTCTTGCTGGCTTTGTAGAACTGCCAAACTGTGAAATCCACAAAAGCCACAGGGCTTGTCTTATAGCAAAGGTTCAGTTCTTGATTAGACAATTTTTGTTGTGCTATTTTTACCATTTCACGAGTTCGCCTGTCCATTCAGCCTTAATAGTTAATGGTAAACGAACTTGGCTTGCTGTCATCGACAGAGGCTTGAACCTTAGGCTCGGCTTGAGCTCCGAGTTCAACCCACCTTTTGTGGTACTACATAGAGGGAGAATGACAGAAATAAAGGAGGAGATGGGGAGGTGGAGGGATGCCAGAATAATTTTCTCCAGGACAGCACAATGACTGCTACTTATATAAGCTTGTAACAATGATTGACAGGACTGAATGTTTAGGCTCCTCCTGAACCTACGTTTGGAACTTCAATAATGTTTTTTTTCCATTAGTGTTTTCCTACGTTCTTCCAGGGCTGAATGCAGCCGCCAAAAACTACCGGTAAGATGAATGGGAATACTAACAGCTTTCTTCTGTATTGTTAGACTTTACTAATTAGATCAAGTCTTCTGATCAGTGAATGGCATTTCTGCCCAATCACACTGAAAAGAATGTTCATGAGAACAAAAATATGAATGAAATCCTAATTTTATTATTTTCCTGATGTCCTGTTAAAGGCTATATATATATATTATATATATTATTGAGGATTGAGGATACAAATTGAGGATACAAATTGTTAAAGTTTTGCAAGTAAACTTTTTGTCCAATCTCGCTTGATACAAGACTTCAGATGCTCAGCAGTCTGTGAGCATCGTTGTCTCTCCTTTTCATGACTGGTCATACATTTTCATTAGGAGACAGATCTAGACTGCAGACAGGCCAGTCTAGCACATTCACTCTGTGTGCCATGCTGTTGTAGCACATGAAGAATGAGACCTGGCATTGTCTTGATCTAATAACCATGGACTTGCCATGAAAGATATCATCTTGATGGCAGTATATGTCTCTGCACAATTCCAATATATGCCTCCATGTCAATGGTACCTCCCCACATATGCCAGTCAACCATGCCGTGTGCTCTGCTGCACTCTCATAACATGACAGATGTTTGCTTTTGCATCGGTTGCTGATGAAAGTCTGGATGGTCCCTTTGGTCTTTGGAACTGAGAAATGAACTCGATGTCCATTTTTCCCTGAAACAAGTTGAAATGTGGACTCATCTGACCAAAGCACACATTCCCACTGTCTTTTCTGAGCTGAGCTCTGGCCCAGAGAACGCCACGGCATCACTGCGTAGAATTGATGTATAGCTTTTTCCTAGAGTAACAGAGATTAAAGATGCATTTATCGATGCAGCGGCAGACTGTGTTAAGTGACAGCGGCTACAACAACTACAGCGGCCTAGACATACACAGACTAAGATTTCTCTGGATTCCCTGAATCTTTTCACAATATTATGTATGGTAGTCGGTCAAAGACCTAAATGCTTTGGAATTTTGCATTGAAAATTTTGATTTGCTTGACACTTCTCTCATGAAATTTGGCACAAAGTGATGAGCCATGATCCAGCTTTGTTTGCAAAGACTGAGATGCCTCTTATACCCAAGCATGATACCCTCACCTATTGCCAATTCACCTGCTTACTGTGAATAGTTTCATAACAGTTTAATTTGGATATTCTAGAACCTTTTCACATTTATTTAGCCTCTGTCCCAACTTGTTTGGAGTGTGCTGCAGCCATCAAAATCAAAATGTGTTTATATTTACAAAATACATTTAAGTTGGTCACTGGAAATCTTTTCTTTGTACTTTTGTCAATTAAATACATTTTAAAGAGAATTAACAAATTAATATTTTTGATTTTATTGCATTTTACAAAACGTCCCAACTTTTCTGGAATCG